CTGCTGCCTCACTCTGCTGCTGCTTCACTCTTCTGCTGCTTCACTCTGCTTCTGCCTCACTCCTTCTGTCGACCTCACTCTGCTGCTGCCTCTCACTCTGCGCTGTTTTCACTCCTCTGCTGCTGCCTCACTCTGCTGCTGCCTCACTCTGCTGCTGCTTCACTCTGCTGCTGTTTCACTCTCTGCTGCTGCCTCACTCTGCTGCTGCCTCACTCTGCTGCTGCTTCACTCTCTGCTGCTGCCTCACTCTCTGCTGCTGCCTCACTCTGCTGCTGCTTCACTCTCTGCTGCTGCCTCACTCTGCTGCTGCCTCACTCTGCTGCTTGCTCAATTTTTGCTGCTGCCTCACTTTTCTGCTGCCGCACTTCTGCTAGCTGCCTCACTCTGCTGCGCCCCTCACTCTGCTGCTGCCTCACTCTCTGCTGCTCCTCACTCTGCTGCTGCCTCAATCTCTGCTGCTGCCTTCGAAAATCTCTGCTGCTGCCTCAATCTCAGCTGCTGCCTCACTCTGCTGCTGCCCCACTCGCTGCTAGCCCACTCTGCTGCTTGCCATTCACTCTGCTGCTCCTCACTCTGCTGATGCTTCACTCTCGCTGCTGCCTCACTCTGCTTGACTTCACTCTCTGCTGCTGTCTTCTTCATTCTCTACATCTTTTCAATAATTTCTAATCACTTCCTAAACTTCTAGCTGATGTATGTGAATACTGTCTCTTCGGGTGAGGCATTGAGTAAGAAAATTTGTTAGTTAACACAAAATTTTGCATCTCAAGGTCTGCAGCAGTCACTCAGAGCACCATACATGTACCTTCCTTATCCTTATGACCCTTGGTTGGGCACCGAGAACAGCCGTGGTCACGCAGTACTACAGCCACACATAGGGTTACCTTGGTTGGCACCGACAAAGCCATGGTCTCGCATAGCCACAGACACCCATAGGGTTACCCTTGGATGCAACCGAGATAGTCGTGGTCTCACAGTAGCTACAGCCACACATAGGTTTACCTTTGGTCGGCACCGATAAATCTTCAGGTCTCACAGTAGCTACAGCCACAACATAGGGTTGTTGGCACCGAGATATCGTGGTTCACACAGTAGCTACAGCCACACACAGGGTTACCTTGGTTGGGGCATCAAGATAGTCGTGTCTCACTGTAGCTACAGCCACACAAAGGGTTACCTGTGGTTGGGTCATCAGAATAGTCGTGGTCTCACAGTAGCTGACAAGCCCACACATATGGGTTACTTGGTTGGCACCGAGATAGTCATGGTCTCGACAGTAAAGCTACAGCCCACACATAGGGTAACTTGGTTTGAGCACCGAGATAGTCATGGTCTCACAGTACAACAGCCACCATAGGGTTACCTTGGTTTGGCACCAGAATAGACGTGGTCCCACAGTAGCTACAGCCACACATAGGGATTACCTTGGTTAGGTGAGGTGATGTGAAGGTGAGGTGAGGTGAGGTGAGTGATTAGGTAGGTTAGGTTAGGTTTAGGTTAGGTTTAGGTTAGGTTAGGTTAGATTAGGTTTGTTACGTTTAGTTTTTGTTCGGCAGATTTGTTAGGTTAGGTTGGTTAGGTCTCTGTTAGGTTAATTATTTATAGGTTAGGTATTTTGATAGCTTAGGTTAGTTATGTTAGGTTAGGTAAGATTACGTAGATTACGTAGGTTGGATTATATTAGTCTAGGTTAGTAAGGTTTAGGTTACGTTAGGTTGGTTAGAATAGGTAGGTTAGGTTAGGTAAGTGTTAGGTTATGTTGTAGGTTTAGGGTATTAGGTTATGTTAGGTTATGTAAGGTTAGATTAGGTTAGCTTAAGGTATAGGTTTGGGTTTGTGTTAGGTTACGTTTAGGTTGATGAGGGGCCTTGGGAGGTTATTAGGGGCTTGAGAGGTTATTAGGGGCCTGAATAGAATATATGGGGCCTTGGGAGGTTATACAGGACCTTGATGTCAATTTTCCTTTTTTTCAAGATTCAATTGCTTGTGATTATTATAATCACAGGGAAGCACTAAACCCGTAGGATTTTACAGCGCATGTGGGGGGATGGAAGGTATTCAGGCTCAATTCGGGGAACTACAGCACAGATCCAATTCCCTCGATCAAGAGCCCCTCACCAGCATCAAGGAACCTCCCTTGAGGTTGATTTAAAATAAATTATTTCATAGACCTTTTTTTCGAGTGATTATCCCACATGTGACCTTGTTGATAAACCACTATGGTGTACCTAAATATTAACTGATTCATGATTACAATCACGACTTTCATGTTAATAAATACCTAGGACCTTCATATCGACAATACTTATGAGCCCTTGGTGTAGCTATACCTCTACATAAAGACTTAGATGTCAAGAGCACCTTTGATATCTAAAACCTCACATATGACCTTGATGTCTCAGGAGCCTCTACACGGAACTTTTGAGAACCTTGATTTGAGAGAAAAATACTTTTGTACTATTATTCCTCTATTACGAAAAAAATTATATTTATACTAAGTATTCAAAAAAAAATTGCCAAAGGATAATGGTGTTGAAGAAGAGTAGTTTTGGCTGGTGAAAGTAATGGTGGCGGTGGCATGAGACAGTTACATTCCACAGCTCCAACACCCGACCTGCTAGCCTGACCCTGGCAGTAGGTGGTGCGTATACACACATATACTGGCTGCCTCCCAGAGTACAAGAAATTATCAATCAAGGCCAATACGAATAAAAAAAAAAAAAAATTAATTTTATTTTTTTTTTTCTCTTCCTTTTTAAATGGTAAAAAATGTATTTCCGCATAACAAATAGTTAGTTGTGAGGCCTCACAACCTTACTTATTTAGCAGTTACAAGTTATAAAAATAAATTAATGGTGAATATAGCAAATATTAATCCAGCAGAACACAAAAATAATGACAGAAAAACTAATTATTCCTTATCCAGGGAGAGACGATGGTAGCCTCCTTGGTGTTACCACTTAGTTCTTCTTTAAACAACTTATAGTTTTATCTTAATTATTTATTAATAGTGTATTGTTTGCTGTCATCAGAATAACATAATGCACACTCTATTACACATCTGTCCTCTCTATTTTTACTTACAAAATAACTAGTTCATTAGTGATTTTCTTAAATAACATCACTGCACCTGTCCTGCTCTCTCAGCCTGACACCATGACGGCGCTACTGCGCATGCGTCGATTTGTCTTACCTGTTTGAGTACTATGGTTTTCAACAACAACTCTTAGTCATTTAGGGAAATATCTTTCATTCCTATAATCAACGTTTAGTATTTCCATTCTCCTAAATTAATATACTCTTTCCTCAAACAAAAGTATTTATTTGTGTACGACAAATATATTACGACATGTATATTAACTATTGCCAGTGTACATGTCACTGTTCTCATCTGTTTTTCATGTTGTCCTGTCTGTGAGTACACTTTTTGAATCAAGCCAATTATTTAGCAGATCTCTGCCCTTAAATCTTAATACGAAATTTGATGGAAAATTTACGGAATTACGCTCACGGGAAGTTAGCGACCTCGGCGATATTTACGAATCGTCGATTTCGCCCACTTTGAGCCCTATTTTCGGCTAATTCCATTGTTCCAGTCGACCAAACTCACAGCTATTTCTTTAGAATTCCATTTGTCTTATCGATTGAGTACAAAAAACTGCCCATTTACTGATTTCAACTACCTAATAAAGTGGTCAGAAATTGGCAATTTGGCCAATTTCATGCAAATTAAAAAATATGCCAATTTCAAAATAGGGTCCAGAATGAACAATGCAGACATTTCTGGCTCTAAAATAGCATTTTCTTTGTTCATCAGTCATGTCTCCAGGCCCCTCTGATAATACTCTTGCTTTCTGTTTTGAATTTTTACTCAAAAAATAGAAGATTTACTGTTATGCAGACTACTGCAATATTGTAATAATTGTATAAATAATGTCAACCCGTTCATGACTGCATATTAGAATGGCTACTTGGACATTTATTGGACAATGACGTCATTTGTATACTCTTGAACATCGGCAAAAATCAAACATTACCCCTACTTTGAGCTCCATTTCAAGGTCCTTTTCATAGTAAAACCAATCAAGATCACCTCTATTTCTATAATATGTTTTCCATTCTATCAAATGTGACTACAAAAACGAGAATATAACCATAAAAACTATACGAAAGTACACCTCAAAGTCGGTGTTTTAATCCAAAAACACAGTCAGAATTTTTTTTCTCATTATGCACTGCGTGATGCAGAATTTTTTTTATACAGTGTACACTGACCACACGGACCCATTCTCTCACATATGGGCCTACCAGCTTTCTCCTGCTTGATTTGAAGCCGCTAGAAAATTTTTGAGTATATATACGTCAAACACATTGGCTTGTAAGACGTAAACATTCGACCGAAACAGTCAAAGGGTTAAGGAACCTCCCTTGAGGGGGAAGAATGCATCCTGAAATTTCATTCATATCCAGAAGTAAAAAATTGACCAAATGACTGTTCGTATCCTGAAAAGTTCGCATGGTGGGGCGTTTGTAAGCAGAGGTTCCACTGTAATTGCTGCTGTCATTAGCTCATTCATTTCTACCTAGTTTATCTTGATATAAGCAAGTGAGCTGGCAAAAAATGCAACTCTTGTATTCTTTATATATAGGGAGGGGGTGGGTGCTTGTCCTAAAGTGTTAATGTGGTTTGCATGATCTTCTCTATAGACAGTATTGCATTGTAAACTTGCAGTGTTGTTGCATTCTTCTGCTTCAGTAACATAGTGTTTGAACCTGAGATTTCAGCTGCATTATCTCTACAAACCTCCCTACAGTATTGTATTGCAAATCTGCAAAGTCATGTGGTTGCGATTTGTGTTGCAATAAGTGTATTTAATGGTTATCATTTTCTTATAATGCTGGTGGATTATGTCACCCACACTATAAAGAACCTAAACAGGCTTCTTCAGAGGTTCTTTTTTTGTGTGTGTGGTCTCTTAACATGTTTTTTTTCTTCCCAGGAACATTGTAGGGGCAGAGATCATCATAGATCATTGATGGACCTGTGAACTGGAAAACAAAACCTTCCTGAAAACCAACAATGATGAAAAGACAATAAAATGACCGCAGCAATCTTCACCTGATCACATGAAGGTCGCTGCCCCAACAAAAGGCAACTAGAGGAAAGAACTGTATGGTATGCATGTGTTTGTATAGTCAAATCTCCCTTAAGCAATAGAAATGTGTCCCATTGAAGCATCTAACTTCAGGAATAATAGACCTTACTGCTTAACAATTTTGTTAAAACCAAGGATTACACTGGGTATTAGCCCTTTCAGGGTCGACAGGCCCTCTCGAAGACTTGTTCTCAGGGTCGGCCAAATTTAAAAAAAAAAAAAATTCTTATGAAAAATAGAGAATCTTTTCCTGATCATAATGACACCAAAAGTATGAAATTTGATGGAAAACTTACGGAATTATGCTCTTGCGAAGTTAGCGGTCTTGACGATGTTTATGCATCGGCGATATTGCCCACTTTGAGCCCTATTTTCGGCCAATTCCAGTGTACTTGTTGACAAAAATCATAATTATTTCATTAGGACTCCATTTTTTTTATTGAATGAGTACAAGAAACCACCCATTTACCAATTTCAACTATCCAATACAGTAGTCAGAATTTAGCAATTTTGCAAATTTCACACAAATTTCAAAAGATGCCAATTTCCGAATAGGGTCCAGAATAAACAAGAATGACATTCCTGGCACTAAAATTACATTTCCTCTGCTCATTAGTCACATCCCCATGCCCCTCTTACATTCTTTTGCTTTCCACTTTGAATTTTTATTCTCACAAAAAAATAGAAGATTTACTGTTACGCAGACTACTGCATTGGTGTAGAAATGGTATAAATAATATCAGCGCACTTGTGAAAGAATATCAGACTCACCAGTTGACGTGTATTGGACGCATAGCATGATTTGTTTACTTTTGAACTTTGGTAAAAATCGAATATTTCTGCTACTTTGAGTTCAATTTCAAGGTACTTTTCATTGTAAAACCAGTCAAAATCATCTCAATTTCTGTAATATGTCTTCCATTCTATAAAGCGAGACCAGGAAAACTAGAATACAACAATAAATACCATACGAAAATACAGTGCAAAGTCACTGTTTTAACCAGAAATACGGTCAAAGTTTTTTTCTTTTCTCATTATGCACTGTGTGCTGCAGGATTTTTTTATACAGCACACTGACCACATAGACCCATTCTTTCATATGTAGGCCTACCAGCTTTCTCTCACTAGATTTGAGGGCGCTAGAATTTAGGCGTACTAGTACGTCAAAAACCCTGGCACGTAAGCCATACTATAGGCCGAAACCCTGAAAGGGTTAAAGTCTATATAGTTGTCTGGGGATGATGGTTCTCTTGGAACATGCTGTGTTTTAGCATCATTGTATTAAATTGTAGATGCAGTTCTGAGCCCAGTGCAAGAACACAAACTTCTTCTCTTATGCTGACCTTACCATGGAGAAGTTTATCTAAGGCTTAACATTTTTAAATTTCCC